GGAAGTTAACCTAAATTAAATCCAAAATACACATAAAACTACAACGAAGGCAACAAAAACAATGCAACATCTCCTTCAGTCTCAGAGGACACAAAGTTGGGTTATCTACAGACAGTGACTAGCTAAAATCGCTAGCTAACTCCCGTTTCTGATAACTTACAACAGATTTTCCGCTTAACTGCAACTCGCGGGATTTGCGAGATTTGCGAGATTCAGGTTACCAAATAAGGAGTGAGAGTGACGCGTAGAGGAACCGGAAGCTGCGCTAGCCTCCGGTGGCTACCATAATGCTATCATTTAGTTTCTCCGATTTTTGCACAAAAATGGATTGATGGACCATCAATAATTTTACTGTACTTGGGGTTTAACAGATTAACTATCGCGGGCCGCCAGAAACATTTCCGAGGGCCGCCATTGGCCCGCGGGCCGCACTTTGAGAACCCCTGCTCTACAGTGACATGTCTCCATGCTTTTATGTTCAAAAAGCTCTTTGTTGTTCTCATACTGCCTGTGCTGCAGCACCTCTTTTCACCCTCTGTCTGAAACCAGAGCCCAGTTTGCTCTGATTGGTTAGTAATCAACTGCTTAGAGATGTGTAGGAAATGTCCCACCCCTTAGCCAATAGAAGCACGAGTGTTACGTACACTAGGAATGTCTCTGTTATGGAAGTCAACAAAGGAGTCTAATGGAAGCGTTTCAGGCAGGGGGGGAGTGAGTGTGAGAGAAACTCCCTCTGGAGGGAACTTTGGGATTTTAGTCTTGGAAGACCATTTACATGCACAACAAACAAATAAAAACATTCCAGGAAAGGGAAAACCCCCATAAGCATAACAGTTCAATGTTACCCATTCACCTACTCCATATTTTCTCTTTGCCTACAATTGTTGTAATGAGTCATTGTAAATATGACACAAAAGAAAGCAAGTTATCACATTTCAGAGGCTGCAACAAGAATATAAACAATGTCATAAGTCAATAAAACATTTTATTATACTTTTTTTGTACTCACTTTGACTCGGCGTATAAGGGCATAACATTCTTTTAACTTTTTTTCATACTCATTTGAGTTTAATTTTGCAACATTGTGCATTTCTGTATCACACAGAGACGAGTCGGCCTCGGCTACGTATTATTTACGTGAGAAGACAGAGTCGGAGAAGGCGGACAAGACCGTGTCCATCACCTCCACCTCGGCCCAGGACACCCTGATAGAAGAGTGGATGTACTACAGGAATCTGCAGCACGGAGAGAACGAGTTCACCCTCCGGAATAAACAGGTAACAAATCATACTGTAGTGTGGGAGAGGGGGTCAAAGTGCGAAATGTTGCTCAAAATAATGACAGCAAAAACATGTATTATCACTCTTTGTTTGAAAGGTAGAAAATACTTTATTCCTCTTTTATATTAAGTGGGTTGGTATAGTGCATGACACGGAGACAACTCTAACCACTATTTCTTTAATCTGATCTTTTGTCGGACATTTGAACTTAAATCTTGGCATCTATGCTATCTTTATTGTTTGTAAATGCTACATTTTATTTAGAATAGTGCAGCGACGACACATTTTCATAGCTCCATCCTGAAAGTTAGCATTACAAGGGCTCCCTCGACAAAAGCCATTGGGATTATCCATCCAGTTTTGGAGTATAGCAGAAATTAGGATCTGTGGCAAACAGAACGCGTTTGTAGTTAGAAGGCCGATATAAGGTCCGTGGTTAACACAAGCTGAAGAGATCTGCACGTTTTGTTCTACCACATAAAATACCGCAGTAAATACTCCACTCATGAATGAGTCATATAAATAGTGGTTGCTAACAAGTGGCTAAAAAACATCACACCGCCACAAGTCCACCTTTAGCTTAGCGGTGGTGATGCGCGGCCATGTGACCGTGATGTAGTTCGTTTATATCATTACGTTAGCTTTTTACTTCTGCCGATTGGATTTACGCTTAAAATGTGGAGATGATCCTACTGAACAAAATGTGTCAAGTATAATAAATGTTTGTTCCCATTGCTTTTAGTTGAGGGACCCCTTGCAATGCTAACTTCCGGGTCTGACCTACAAAAATACATCATCACAGCACCACTCAATAAACAAACTACATCACAGTCACATGACTTCATGTCAACACCGCTAAGATAAAGGAGGCTAATGTTTGGATAGATGACTTTTAGTAGTCTTCTTTAGTCACTTGTTTGTTGTTAAAACAGATTAAAATGCAGACTCTATTAATCTGAAGTTTTAAAGGCTTGGTTTTGTGACGTTGTGGCTTTGTTTCTTCCCTTCTAACCTTTGTGAATTGTTGGCGTCATTCCCAGGTGAAGCAGAGAGCAGATGAATGCATTCTGGCTCTGGACAAACTCATTGAAATCAACTCAGGGATACCAGTGCAAAATGTTTTAAAATCTAAATTTGACTGGACAACTTTGGAGGTAACCTACTGAGAAAATGTGACCTAGTTTTCATAGATTGTGAGTTTCTTTTGAACAGTAAATCATCCAACGGGCAGCAGCACATGCACACACTATAGAATTTAGAATAAGACAAGGAAATATGTGCCTAGTCCAGGTTTCAAACAAGCAGGATGTCCTCCAGCATAGGGGGCATTTCGACATGTATTCTTCCACTAATACATTAAAATGCAACTGTTGAATATTTCAACACTAGGCTCTCATCTCTGTGATGGAATTTTGTTGACAACCATTGAAATATACACAATGTCCTTTTACCTGTGCTCTGATGTCAGAACCTGGTGTTCACATGATAACAGCTGACAGTTAACCTGTGTCCCCTCGTCCTTCCTGGTGTCCCCTCTCCCAGAACTCCATGGATCTGTGTCGGATCGCAGCGGTGGGGCATTCCTTCGGGGGAGCGACAGTCATCGAAGCTCTCTGCAAAGATGTTAAATTCAAGTATGTGAAATTACAATGAACATCCAGGTCTCCTACATTATCATAACCCATGTTCCTGAGAGGCAGTAACAACTAACAGGTTGTTAGGGTAAACATCTTAACCAAGATATCCCCATTAAACTTCCCCAGTTGCTTAATTTCAAGTTTTCTGAACGTTAAAATATGCAAATCCTATTATATATGTGCAGATATGCATACATTTCCAGGTAGAAATTTGAATATTACAAATAGGCCAGGTTCAACATTTATTAAGGTTTCATTTTGTTGACATTTTAAAGTCAGAAGACATTTTATAAACTAATTTGTATAACTCCATAAATCAGAGAAAAACAGCCATTGATTAGTTAAGACAAGTATTTCTCGTATCACACTTTTTCTGAAATTGAATGTCTTAATATGCAATCAGAGCATTACAGTGGGGCAAAAAAGTATTTAGTCAGCCACCAATTGTGCAAGTTCTCCCACTTAAAAAGATGAGAGAGGCCTGTAATTGTTGTGGAGCCCCAGATCGAGGGAGATTATCAGTGGTCTTGTATGTCTTCCATTTTCTAATAATTGCTCCCACAGATGATCTTCACACCAAGCTGCTTACCTATTGCAGATTCAGTCTTCCCAGCCTGGTGCAGGTCTACAATTTTGTTTCTGGTGTCCTTTGACAGCTCTTTGGTCTTGGCCATAGTGGAGTTTAGAGTGTGACTGTTTGAGGTTGTGGACAGGTGTCTTTTATACTGATAACGAGTTCAAACAGGTGCCATTAATACAGTTAACAAGTGGAGGACAGAGGAGGCTCTTAAAGAAGAAGTTACAGGTCTGTGAGAGCCAGAAATCTTGTTTGTTTGTAGGTGAACAAATACTTATTTTCCACCATAATTTGCTAATAAATTCTTTAAAAATCAGACAATGTGATTTTCTGGATTTTTTTGTTGTTGTCATTTTGTCTCTCATAGTTGAGGTATACCTAGGATGAAAATTACAGGCCTCTCTCATCTTTTTAAGTGGGAGAACTTGCACAATTGGTGGCTGACTAAATACTTTTTTGCCCCACTGTATGAGTGTATTGGTTTGTGTTGGTGTGTGCGTGGGTGCAGACCTGCAGCAGCGTCCCGTGTATGTGGTTGTGTTGGGTTGTGGGTCCGGGCTCAGCAGAGAGCTCCTGCAGCAGCGTGTGCACGGTGGAGGGGACCTGGGTCACCAGCACGAAGGGGACCAGGGCCCGGGCCGCCATCTCTCTGGTCCGATACACTGCTGAGCGCCCGCATCTGCAACACACGAGGCTGCACCATTAGTGTCACTCAAAAGATATTTACATCATGTTACACGGATAGCTGCTATGTTATCTTTTAGTCTTGTGTTACGTAAGATTTTATTTTTGAGTTAATGGAGGAAGTTAGAGTGGGGAAAAAAAGTATTTAGTCGGCCACCAATTGTGCAAGTTCTCCCACTTAAAAAGATGAGAGAGGCCTGTAATTTTCATCCTAGGTATACCTCAACTATGAGAGACAAAATGAGAAAAAGAAAATCCAGAAAATCACATTATCTGATTTTTAAAGAATTTATTTGCAAATTATGGTGGAAAATAAGTATTTGGTCACCAACAAACAAACAAGATTTCTGGCTCTCACAGAACTGTAACTTCTTCTTTAAGAGCCTCCTCTGTCCTCCACTTGTTAACTGTATTAATGGCACCTGTTTGAACTCGTTATCAGTATAAAAGAGACCTGTCCATAACCAGAAAATCACATTGTCTGATGTTTAAAGAATTTATTTGCAAATTATGGTGGAAAATAAGTATTTGGTCAATAACAAAAGTTCATCTCAATACTTTGTTATATACCCTTTGTTGGCAATGACAGAGGTCAAACGTTTTCTGTAAGTCT